ATGGGCCTGATGGGCCACACATGGAAGACAGCAATGTCAGGTACAGCAGACCAACTGACCACAGTGAAAACATAAGAATGTAAATGATGGCAGTCTCCTTATCACAAAAGTGCATCTGGAAATGAGGATTTTAATGAGGGGAAAAAATGACATTTAAAGCTTAATTTTCATTGTCATGAAGTATTTAAATAGTTTTATCGTATGCATATCTGTACCACTGAATCATTCCATGTCTTGATGTTATTTTAAAATCTCTTTCCTTGGTTTTCATCTCAGCTACGGCAGCTACGAGGAGATGGAGAGTCAGAGTCAGATGCAGCCATCTAGTTTGGGAAATGGAGAAGAATACGGCATCAGCGAGGAGGAGGAAGACGAAGAAGACGAGGCACGGAGGAGAGGCCCAGCTGTGCTCTCTCAGGTCCAGCTCAGCGAAGATGAAGAGAGCGAAGAGTTCAGATCTATTGGGGGCGAGAGCGACATGGACTCTGACAATTAGCTTCTTTCGATTTCTTCTTCTGCTTCTTTTGCTCCAGAATCATGAAAACTGAAACAGTTTTAAAAATGAGGAAATGAGATCTTAGGTAAATATGTGTACAGTGTTATTTTGTAAATGACCGTGTTAAACCAATTGTAGAAAAAAAACTGCACCTTGTAAATTTCAGTTTGTCTTTTTATATATGGTTTCTTTGTTTTATCCCATTTTGCTTCAGTTAAATGTTATGGAAGCTTCTTTCCATCACTCAAAAAATAAACATTTTTTACCACCTGTCAGTCAAAAGTTAGTTACTTTAGAGAGTTGACTTAATCAGAGGTTTGAGTTAATATGCGATAATAATCCATTTTGAGGTCAACCAAAAAATTTTGCCAAGCAAAAAGTGTTTGGGGTTTCTTTCAGTTGGTGGGGAAGAGCTTCCACAATATCCCAAATTCACAATAAAGGAAGAAAAAAAATGAAGACACAATTTTCTTTGTTTTTTTTCTAATACTAAATAAGCTGCAGCTCCTCTTTCTCAGTTTTGCTTATTGAATGAACATAATTCCAGTAAGAAGTGATTGAGAGGGATTCAGATCCATGCAGTTCAACTTCCCTTTTGATATGTTAATATTTAACTCGTGTTAATATTTGTCCAATCCACTAGTCATTTATCATCAAACATAAAGTAAAAGCGATGGAAAGTAATCATTGAGGTGGAATATGACAGGACTTTAATGACTGTGGTTACAGTTGGAAAATTGTTGTAGATATTTTGACACACCAACAAAAAACAATTATAAATAAAACAAGCGCAAGCTGATCAAATAATTACACTTCTGTATGCATTTCATTTTTCTCAAATATGTGGTGTTCTTATAGTGCCTGACGTTTAGTGACACACTTAACGCTGCTGTTAAGTGAATTCACGAACAAGGTCATAAACACAGTGAACAGCAGAGGGTACTCCAGCACACACTGAATGTCAGGTTTCATTATCTCAGCTACTATAACGCACTCATTTATTTACTATTACCATGATAAGCATCTGCACAGTGGCTTTTGTCTCCTATTTTAATTGAAAATGAGACATTATTAATAAAAAGAAAGGTCAATGTAAAGTCCACTGGGCCTGAGCTGACATATAGGAACATAAAATGGAGAAATACACCATCCCCTACAAATAACTCAAAGATAACTCCATGGCAAGTGCACAAGCTGGTGTTTGGGTAAGGATTTGGGTTACTCTGAAAAATCTAGGAGAAATATGTCACTTGGTTTAAAATAAATCATGCTCAGCGATACAAAAACATTAGCAAACAAAGGTGGCCTCTGAAGTAGTGAGCAACAATGAAAAGCTTCTAGGAAGAAGCTGCACCAACCCACATCTCTGTTTCCTGGAAACACTTTGTTTGTGATGTCAGATTGTTTAACAACTCCAACTACTACGTAAAGGATACCCGTTTAGTGTTTCGTACTTGACGATGACAGACAGCACACTTCCTGTTGCAACAGCTCTGCAGAGAGCTGCTCATTCAGCTCATCGACCACACTGATGTCTATATTCATACTTGTAATCTATGCATGGAACGTAGTTTGTGTACATGAGCTGTAGCATGCTTGCAAAGCCACTGATAATACAACCTACTGGCTCTACTGTCAGTATTTCTAAGATGTCTCATATGGGTGAATTTATAGGATATCAGTGCTCCTTACTTTTCTACATTCCTGTGACTTTAACACAAAACTTAAAAAGCACATGATTTAGAGCACTGTGGTTGTGTCTGCCTGCCATTTACCAAGAATCTCTTACTGAGAAAGATGAACTAGATCTTTGCACATGTAACTGAAAAAGCATATGTTTGCCCGGAGCAGCATACCACAAAGGATTCTAATATAGGCCCAAATTCTTTCACAATCTAAATGTATTCATGAGATTGCAGAGGCTTATCAGCCACAGAAGTAAATAATTACATTGCATCACATAATTATTATTTTATCCCAGGTAAACCCACAGGGTAAATCTTTTATCTCTGAACAGGCAAATTTCTGCCCCAAGCTACAGTGGGTCTCTCAGGTGAGGTAAAAACACGTCTGTGGACAGACAAGCATCCTTTAGCAGACTGAGGAATCCGGCAGGGGCTGAGCGAGTGAGACCTGTTCATCTTCTTCACGGCCGCTGTCCTGACTGATGAGCTTTTCATCGACTGCAGCAAGCTGCCAGAGTTCAATGAAGCTGGGGAAAATGATGGCAACCAGCAACTTAAGCCCTCCCCCTTGGCAGATGACAGATCTGGGAAAGAATGAATGAATTAAAAAATAAGAAAATGGCTCACATGTAGTCATTAAGATGCAGAGTTTCATATTTTGCACATATTTTCTGGTTAAGAAACAAAAACAAATAACTGATCTAAACCTGATGGAAGGTAAGCGGTTTGGTCAGCAGGTTGGCAGTCGTCGATGTCTAAACTTCGGCTGTTCCTAACAGCCTGGAGGGAGCGGAGGCTGGTACGCAGGGGCGACCTCGTCCTGCCTGGTGATGCTGCTGCTGCTGCAAAAAACATACTGAGCTCACACTGAGGTAGTATAACCTCTAGCATCTGCTGATGTTTTGGAGCTATTTTACAAAAAAAGTTTCTCAAATGAAATGTGGAAAATGCACGACATGTACCATAAGAGAAAATCAAAAATAGGAGTTCTGCCTCGTGTTTTACTCCTTCTTGTTATTTATTTTATATCTTGTTTGTACCTCACTGTCAACCTATGAAAAGCTGTCTGATGAACAGAAAGCTCTCAGCTTCAAAAACTGTTGAGACCATGTCACAAAGAAATAAAAAGAAAGAAGATCCTATCAGTCGTCTACAGTGAGTAAATCTCACTGTAATCCTTTCATAGCACAAGAAAATCAATCACTTACACTGACAGTATAAACATGCCTGACTTTGTGTACCTTGGTTCTGAGCGCGTTTAAGCAGCTTGAATTGGGTGACTTGTTGATGAAGTCTGGATGGTCTGGGACTGTGGCAGCACTCCTTAACTGCTGATATGGAAGAAGTTTCGGATTTATTTCCTGGAGTTGAGTAAGCAGCGTTTTCACCAGTGGTGTTAAACGAGGGTGGAAGCATCAATGGAGCCTCAGGGTTTCTCCTCTGTGAAGCAGTGGAAGGCATGGAGACAAAGTCCTGCCTCAAACCTGAAAAATATGTACATGTTATTGACTCTCAATCAAACCTTTAAGTAGCATGCTATATCACTACAAATATTTTTTTCTATACTCACTGGCTTCCTGCAGTTGAGCCATGATGCGGACATCTTGTAGCCTGTAGCTCTTTGTTACGACATCGAGGGAGATGCTTGGCTCCCTGTGACCTGTGATTAATAAATTCATACATTGAAGACTTCAGTCTCTCAGTATTTAGGAGGAATACCTTTTTTTTGTGTCTACTTTTCTGTGTGCACAAAATCCTCAGGAAATCAGGAAGTAACAATGTGGCTGTAATTACTGTACGTCATATATTGCATATACTGCTGAATTTTTGCAGCTTGTCAAATATACCCGAGTCACACTTGAGGAAGTTGTGCCTTGTCTTATCTCAATTATAACAACCACACCCCCAAAAGATACCCAAACAACCAAAATGAGATGAGGAATAGATAGAAAATGACCATAAAGTCTTACAGAGCAATACCAAAGCATAGACCCAATATGCAATACAAACAAACCACAAATTATATATGCATGCTGTCTATTTGCTTTATGTCTTTGTGTCTTAATCCTCTGACAGATTTTTAAGCTTCATCATTTTTTTTTCCACCAGCATATTCATCGCTTTAAGTCAGTTAACTCTGAGCTGACATAAACACACATCTGCATGTGAATATCCAAAATCTGCAGCAGGGAAGGGGACAATATTTTGTCAACTGGAAGCTTCCCACTTTCTGTTTATAGTTCATTCGTAGTCCGAGTGCTACTGACCAATCACAGTTAAGTAGGTAAGGCTACAGGCAAGTCAACAGTCCCCGTGGAGACCAAAAGAGGGATCACATTTCAACAAAATGCAATCTTTTGAACAATCTGCAACTAACTGCACATTTATCATCTGATGACAAGCATTTTGTTTATTAGCTTTATTTTTTTAAAAAAAATCTATCTTCACTGATGACCAGGACAGAAGAAAAAAATCCACAGTTGTCCCAAGAAGGTAAGTCGGCAGACTAGCTGATGGGTTGTGTTTGTGCTTTTTTGTGCATGACCTGACACTGACACAACACAAGGCTGCACATGAAACAGACAGTTAGTTAACAAACTAAAACAACTGACATAAATTAAAGCTAACTTTATCCAAAGCTTATAAAAAACACTACATCATGTGTAGCTGTGCTGGAGTGTAAAGGTCATCTGTGTGTGTAGAAAAGAATGTAAGATAATGACTCAGGTTTCATGGTTGAAGTTCAGAGTATAACTTTTTTAAAAAGATATTACCTGAACTGTCAGGTGTATTTGCTGCTGCACTGGCAGAGGTTTTATTCACAGAGGAGCCCACAGGGACACTGGCAGCATGATAGGAAACTGCAGGACGTTTGTGGAGCTCACGTCTTGATCCTGACAATACAAAAAGTGAATGCCATTAAAGGAATCCTCTTTTATATCAAGGATATTTGTAAGATAATGAGTGGGTGAGTGAGTCTGTAGCGCTTGCTTGCCTTGATCCAGCATTTTTATCAGTGCACGGCATGCAGCTTCCATCTCAGGGCTGGGATTATCAAGAACATGTCGACACCATTTAAAAGCAGATTCCTTTTTCTCCACAGACGAATGCTTCCTTGGAGACTCGTACAGCCTGTGAAGAATAAGACATTACGACTATGTAAAGAAGAGATCTGTTCAGAAGAGCTTTTAATACTGAAGAGTGCTCAGATTGAACTGTCCTGAAAAGCAGCCACCTCAAAGTCTTTAACGTCTCTTTAGAAGTGCACAAATTCAGGTTCATGTCTCTGTCATAACTCAGACTAGAAACAAGCTAAATAAAATGAAATACTTCTACATCACAAGCTGCACTGTCAGAGAATATCACTGTACATCTGATGGCATTTACCAGCTCTCCTCATCCTGCTCTTCATCCGCTATGTCAAGGATTTCCACCAGGTCCAAAGCAGTCTCTTCTTCCTGCAACTCTTCACTGTCCCAAGAGTGTTTTTCACAGCTATAATTGTGCAACATCCTGCTGGTGGCACAGTAAGGCAAGGGTGGATTGCACCCAGATTTCAAACTGTCCAGTCTTATTCTAGCATCCATAACAAAAGACCCACTGCTACAGCTTTTCACTCTTGCCGGTTCAATATCGGCCCAGATGTTGCAGTATGCATCTGATTTACCCTGCGGCCACATACAGCTGCTTTTCAAATCACTAAAGAGAAAGTGGTGGTTCACACTTGTAGGTGGTAAATAGTATTGGCTCCAATCGCTCATCGTATGGTCCTGGAGTTCCATTTTCTGTGTGAAATCTTCAAATCTGTGTCTTTGAGCTCTCGTCCACTCTTACTCCTCCTTAATGAGGGTAGCTTCCAAACCGGGCTCTCACAACACCAGGCTAAAGGTTGGTTTAAACACAACTCTTTTTAAAAATTGTTCTACACATACAGCAACTGTAGCTTGACTTTACCTTCTGCTGACCCAGATTTATTGAGTGGAGCTGTTAAGTATAGACACGCAACAGATTGGATGGATTTAGGAAAGCATCACGAGCTTATGTGGATTAGAATCCACGAGTTGGCATTCAAGATCACACCATCAAGACTTACATGTGCGGGCAAAAAGATGCTGTAACTATTTCTGTGATTTCTCAGATGAGCGCAACACTACTTCACAGGAAAGATGTCCTCTCTGTGTGGTCGTTACAGCTGTATATACTGTGCTGTTGCTACTGCTGAATGTTTGCAGTTAACAGCTGATCAAATGTACCTGAGTCACGGTAGAGAAAGTTGTGTTGAAAAGGGTGGTCAGATGCTCTCTTTTGTGCAGACAGATTAATAAGAAGGTTTGGGGTTTCCCTTACAACCATGTGAAGATCAATAACTCTCACTTACACTTGTGCATTTTTATGCAGTATGTTTGCAGAAGGCTAAGCCTTTTAGGAATATAAACCAACATCTAACTTTTTTAAAAAAAGAAGCAATAATGAAAATTTAGTAGCTCCACAACATCTGCCCTATAATAAATTTAACTAATGATCCTAGTATTTAAATAAAAAAAGACAAGAAAACAAAAGAATTATAAACCTGATTAAAGTGGAAAATCATATTGAGTCCATTCCAAATTTATCTTCAGTATACATTCAATCACATACAGAAAGGTTCAAATTCTCTTATCATTGTTCGGTGTGATTAGATGTGACATAAGTAGGCTATGTGAACAGTACAGGTGGGGCACATAAGCTCGTTTGTTGAGAAATAGTTCCAGCATGTTACGCCCCTGTGATTACAACTTGTTGATTCAACTTTTACAGTTTTACACTCAACTTTGGGGAGCAAGCCAGTAAAGAAGTTTCCTCCTGCCAAACTATGACGTCGCTGATAGCTGGCAAGAACTGGCAGGTTCACTTTGGCAAATCTGCTATATTTAACACTGATTTTTTTTGTGCTATGGTTGGGTTAAGGGCAAGATCCAACCAAAATCCACCCAAGATTCAACCAAAGGCAAGATGTGGGATTAAGCAGGGTCAAGGCTAACTGGATTAAGTTGGCCTTCACCCTACTTTAAATTGCAGTTTATCACTTGTATCTAGAGAAATAGTCCAGATGTCATTATTTACCTTGATGGGCGACCGTGGTTCAGGGGGTTGGGAAGCTCATCTTGTAACCGGTTGCCGGTTCGATCACCAGCTCTATCTGTCCTGGTTGTTGTGTCCTTGGGCAGGACACTTCACCCTACCGCCTACTGGTGTTGGCCAGAGGGGCCGATGGTGCGATATGGTAGCCTTGCTTCTGTCAGTCTGCCCCAGGGCAGGCTACAACAGTGGTTTGCCTTCACCAGTGTGTAAATGTGAGAGTGAATCAATAGTGGAATTGTAAAGGGCTTTGAGTGTCTAGAAAAGCGCTATATAAATGCAATCCATTATTGATGATAATTTTAATTAAATACAGTGGATTTTGTATTAATATAACTTTATTTTTATTTTTTTAACTTTTATTTAGGTAGCTAAATAATTTAGGTGTATATCTGTACAACAAAGTAAAATGGGTGTGAGTGGAAAAGAACCAAAGAATTTTAAACATACTACCAGGCCTGAGTTGCTTTCTTATATTCTTCACTCAGAATTAAGTCAGTATTTTGGTGCCTTTTAAGTTACACGTTGATGATGTACTTTGAAGGTGAGGTGTGAAACAAATGCAAATGAAGAACATAACATGACGAAATTAACATTATAAGTTGTTGTGTCTGCAAAGTTTCATTCAGTTTGGCACATCTTTTAAGAAGGACATAGGGTATATACACACACCATACATGTAGTAACATTGTCTTTTTTTCACTAATTTCAGTGAACCACCCTATTGAATAGCCCCAAAAGCGACGTACAGCTGTGTTTTTGAGGGTGAACTGAGAAGCACAGTAATTATCAGGTTAAATCTATTGTCCTTATAGTTTCTAAAATTCAATTCAATCAATTTTACAAAGCATTTTTGTTGATAAGTGTCCCAGTCCAGTCTATTCTCCTAAATTACCCATTTGGGTACAGTTATTTATTCTCGACAATATCACAACCCATGTGTGGCACATAGGTGAAGATTACTTATGGAGTTTAGCATTAATTACATGTTAAATCAGACCAGTTGAGCAAGACTAAACCATAGTCACATAGACCCCCACACCACACAATAAGTATCATATCAACCTCTTGAAACCAACTCCTGCTGTTGGTCTGGTTCTTTGGGTTCATTGGCCTGCACTGCTAATAAAAACAGCCCTACTCCTGATGGCAGCTCAATATCACAAGACATGTCAACTCTGAAAATCTATTAGATTAAAAACACAACACACATATGGTTTCTAATCAGTAATTTAAATAAGGGTTAGGGGTATAAATATGTGCTCTGCTTGTTGGATTAACTGAGCAAAAGAACCTGGTAGCTCGTAAAAAAAACCCAAAACCCTGTATATTGCAGAAACTTACATACAGATAAATAAAAACTTAGCAGATATTACGTAACCTTGTGTTAGCATCTCTCACTTAACTGTGTGGCAGGAGGCTTTCATGTGCTGCTACTCTTAGCAAGAAAGAGACATTTATGAAAATTGGACAAAATAAACTTTTTTTTTGTGCCACACTAAAGAAAAAAATAAGTGTTTTAACTGATGTATTTAAGGACCAGAATCCTGTTTGTGTGCAGCTAATACTATGTAAGCGAGCCTTATGTTGATTCATTGATTTCAAAGTAGGGTTTTTTTTTTAAGTATACATCTTTAACTTGGTCTCTGTTGGTGGGCTGCAGGTGCACACAGAGGTGAGGTCAGCCTTTGATGGTATCTGTCAGACAGGCTCAGGGCGTACACTGCAGAAAACTCAAATTAATGTAAAGGACATGTAAAACAAAGCACCGAAACACTAGCATAGCTATCGATACTCCTCCAGTTGCCGCCCAAAGGTACAGGAGAAGGAGTAGGAGGTGTCTTCCTCCTGGATAAAGCTGCACCTGCGCCCTGCCTCCTGTCTCCTCGTCACCTCACCGCCCACCGGTTTGTTTCCTGCTCGTCACTCAGTTGTTGTGTCTGAGCTAGAGCGCTTCTTTTTCAACTTCAGCCACCACATCATGGAGTCCTAAAAAAACGCTTTCCCCTGTGAAATGCGGAGTGACGAGTGACAAACCGGACAGCGAAGGGCCACCTCTGTCGGGAGGGAGAGTGGGGGGAAATGCAGGACACAACCGGCAAAGCAGCCTCCGGGAACCCGGCTGGAGACAGCGGCGCAACCGCAGAGCAGGTAGGAGCAATGCAACTTTGTTATTCTGGCTTTCACCGCATCATACAGGACTCTGTGCAGGTGTAAGACACGCCAGCGTCCTGATGTAACTCCAGAAGCCCGTTACGAGCAGTTCAATGTCACCAACGGGCGCTTTCAGTTGTCTGAAAGATACCGTGTTCAGATGAGGCGGTCCAACCTGTTCGCCTGCATTGCTCTCAGGCTTTTCCTCTTCGTCTGCAGCAGATAAAGCCCTTGCCTCGGTTCAGTTGTTCAGCAGTTGTGTTTACCTTAACTTTTCCCCGCTGTGTACATCACACATGCACAATGAGTACTCAGCTAGAAAGACTGGTTCAATAGTGGAGCAAATGTGTAGAAACGGGAAATAAAACGATTCGTTTCCCTCTGAGGTGTGGCTGTGGTATATTAAGTGACTGTGAGGGTGTTTGGGGGTTATAATTGAAAATGATTGCTGCTACTTGTTATTCTAAGCCCCCACTCTTTAAATCTCAATGGGACAACTTATAAAATATATCTGGATTTTAATCGTCGAAGAATAGTAATCACCACAAGAAACAAGAGTAACTGTAACCTTAAAGAAGTTTTGTTTTGTTTTTTTGACCAACAGATGTGACCATGTGCATCAGATTGTCCACATCATATCTGTTTGATGAAGTGTGTAAAAGCCAGTCATACAAAATATCTCAGACATGCTACATTATGGGCTCAAAAGTTTTAATGTTGTTTAATTCAAACGAAAAAATACAAATACAAAATAAAAAAAAATACAAAAAACTGCTTGATGGTCTCAATAAATGTTTTTAAGTACAAAAAGGAGTAGATGGAAGTTTAACACTTATCAAGACCTACTCCCCTTATGTAAAAAGAACAAATTTTTTTTTTATAATACTAGCTAAACTTTAAACAGGCCTTGTACATCCTCAGTAGCTATAGAAACGTGCACATAATGATGATAAATGACAATGGTAATATCCAGATAACAGCGTGAGAACTCAACTGAGCAACTTCTTTTACGGAAGCAAGTCATCCTCATGTTCATGCAGTTTGTTTGTTTGTTTTTATGCAATAATACATTGGCGTTCAATGTGTTTAAAAATGGGGGGGGGGGGGACGTGAACTATATAACAATGCAGTAACAATGCTTAAAGCAGAAGCCCTGTTGTTATCTTCATCAGACTTCCTCCCTGTGTGTGCGGACATCAAAACCAGTTCCTCCTTTGTTTAGAGGTAGATGGTGCGCAGGAAGGAAGAGGAACAGGAAGCAATAGATCAGTGGACGGTTTTAAGGAGATAGAAAAGTTAAACCACACGCTAAGTGTGTGTGCCTGTTCTTGGTTTTTGTACTCGACTGTGTAATCCACAAACTGCAAACAAACCTTGTCAGACAAAAGCAAACAGAACAGTCAGTCACAGTCAGTTCCTCATATGTATTTACATCAGAGTTACCATGTATTTCCCGTCTCATTTCAACATCCTAATAATGTAATCTGTTGTTGTTGTTGTTGTTTTTTTTTTAGAATAAAGTACATATGAATGGAAATACAGTCACACAAAATGGTTTCAACCGGCCAAGTACACCTACACCACAGCCACAGTCTGAATGCCAACTACCTACTCCAACACCGATTGTCCAGAGGGAGCAGTGGGGTGGAAAGTATGAGTTCCTGCTCTCCTGCATTGGATACTGCGTGGGACTGGGAAACGTGTGGAGGTTCCCCTACCTTTGTTACCGCAATGGGGGAGGTGAGTGGTCCATAGTCAAATGCTTGTCGTGTGTGTGTGTGTGTGTGTGTGTGTGTGTGTGTGTGTGTGTGTGTTAATCATTGTTTGTAACACTCATTTGTGCATGAGGCACTCTTTGCCCTGCCCTTGGGTGTGTGTACTTCTCATCATGCTGATTTATTTGGCACACTCTTTCCAGAGCACACCATGACAGCCTCTGGAAAGACTGAGGAGAGTGGGAACTACATCACAAAGCATTCACTAATCCTCTAAGTAGGGACAATGTTTTTCCTCGATTACACGCCAGAAATGGGGTTTACTTTTTGATCCCAGCCTTAAGTAATACACATCTCTTTTTGAAAAGCGTACATGTTGCAGCTTGTCTGACAGTAAAGTCAGATTATGTCTATATTGCATTTTTATAAGTTAGCCTGCTGCTACAGGCTGCCTGCATCCACAAACCAAGTCGTTTTTATTGAGTCGTCTCCCTCCCTTCATTAAAGAGGCCTGTTTCTAATCTTCACAGGTGTCTTTCTCATCCCCTATTTCATCATGCTTATTGTTACGGGTGTTCCGCTCTTCCTCATGGAGCTGAGTTTAGGCCAGTATGGAGCAGCCGGCCCGATCACTGTGTGGAAATGCTGCCCTCTGCTCAAAGGTAATGACCTCCTATTGCAGGATTTTTTTGTAAGTAATTAAGGAAAGCAGAAGAAAATCGGTGGAAAGACTTCGGAAACTTTAGCATGGTGTCTGCATGGTGATTTCATACTGGGGGTACTTTATTCCAGTTAGTTAGAACAAAATATTTGACCAGTTATGCAGCATTTCTGTTTGAATTTGAAGGATTTGTGTGGGCAGAATCTCCGATTGACGTCAAAATGCCAGCGTCACCAGTCAGACCAGACATTACAGTTCATGCAAATAGCTGCTGAGTGACTCAAAACAAATTGCTGCCTCACTTCTTATGGCTTACCTTAAAATGCCTGGCTTCTCAGAAACTAATTTTAACCCTGTAAGAAATGTCTTACCTGTGCTAGGGAGTGGTCATGTCAGCAGGCTTATTTAAGAGAAAGGTGAGACGGAGTTCCTCATAAAAGGAAAAAGGAAGTGAACGTTTTTATATTAGCAAGAATAACACTGGCTGTCAGCAATAGTGCGATCAAGGGTGATAAACTCTGCAGTGATTGTTTAATGTCACTATTATTTCTTTTTGCCAGTTTAAGCACCATTTTCTGAAACTAATGTATTACATACAGTTTGCCTTATACAGTAGAACATTTGCTTTTGTCTGAGGTACTCATGTCCCTCTCTGTGTTTTTACACAGGGATTGGGATTGGGATGCTGTGTGTGTCCACACTGGTGTGTCTCTACTATAACGTTATTATAGCATGGACATTTTACTACCTGGGCAGCTCATTCCAGAGCCCTCTGCCCTGGTCCTGTGAGGCCCTCGCCAATGCAGCTATCTGTAGTGGTAACATCACTGCCAATAACTCCACTGGTAAAGTCCTCACCCCGACAGAAATTTTCTGGAAGTAAGTGCTTTATTTGGATGGTCATTTTACATAAATGAATAAATCAGTGTTGTTTTTAAGGTTGTACATTATATGAAATGTTTTACTAAAAGAAAAAAGTAATGCATAGCAAGGGTTTAATTTGCAAAGTATTTTTTTAAACTTATATACTATGGCTGCATCAAAATGACAGCAATGCAAAGGCACTGGTATGTCTCTAAGCCACACCCAAGTGACACATTTGATGGTTTTAGCCAACTGTGTCTTAACAATTGGGTGAGAAAAAACATACAAGAGGCTTTGAACAAATCTGAAATGGCAGCAGGAGCTTTAACTAATCAAATTGCATCAAAACAAAGTGACAAGAATTGTTCTCATTCAAGTCTACTCATTTTAAATTTCTCATACAATTATTTGGGTAATTATAAACCTTGTTGAAGTACTTGCTCAAAATGACTCGACACTTGATCCCTGTCAACTGTTTTTTAGTACTTCACATCAACACAGTGTTACTACAGAATACATAAGAGTTTCAGTACAGAGCAGTTGTCTGTACAGATAACCACAGCAGTCCGTGGGACACGGTGAATGAATCCCAGAGGCTTTGCACATCATCATTACAAAAAGCACTGTGTTCATGATTTATCCTTTTAGTCAAAATGCATAATATCACAAGAGCTTTCTTTCATTTTAAGGTGTATAGCCTTATGGGTGGTAATGCAGTCAGTATTTTATTACACTTTACTGCATGCAGGGGGGCCAGAGCTTTTCTGAGCTGTCAAAGAGTGAGGAGATGAGGTGCAGCCTGGACAGGTTGCTAGTCTGTCACAGGGCCAACACAGACGGACAGACAACCATTCATACTCTCCTGTGGGCAATTTAATCCCCAATTAACCTACCCCCACTAACTGCATGTCTATAGACTATGGCAGAAAGCTGGAGTACCTTGAGAGAGCCCACGCCAACATGGAGAGACCATTCAAACTCCACACAGAAAGGCCCTAGCCATCGTACTATGCCCTTAGTCAAATTCAATTTGGTTCAATTTTATTTAAGTGAATTCAAAAAATTAAAGAAATCTGAATATTACAGGCATTGTAGTAGACAAAGAGTGCCACAGAAACTGAATTTCACTTCTCTTACTCCCTTGTAGGACATATGGGATGTTTTAGCGTCCAGGACGATGTCATCATAGAAATCCAGACCAACAGCTGTGCCTTGTTTATATAGTTAATGTCTAATAGGTGCTTGTTTGCATAGTTGCCTCACAGCAAAAATGTTTAAATCCAGCATGGAGCTTTTCTGTGTAGAGTCGGCATGTTCTCCTCAACTTCCACCTACAGTTAGGCTAATTAGTGATTCTAAATTACCCATAAGTGCAAACACCTGTCTCTCTCTGTTAGCCCTGTGACAGCCCTGTGTATCCTGCCTCTTTCTGATAGCTGGGATAGGCTCCACCCCCCACACAACTCTGAATTGGATAAATGGGAGAAAACAGATGCGTAATATGTGTGGTCATATTTGTGCTATTTCATCTTGTAGTACGCAAGTCCTGGGTGTACTACACAGTGAGGGCCTTCACGATCCAGGCCCTGTGCGGTGGCCCCTGGCCCTGTGTCTACTCGCAGCGTGGATCATCATCTTCCTGTGCATGCTCAAGGGCATCCGCAGTTCTGGCAAGGTGACGCAACACAATGTTCTTATTGTCAGCGCAGATACAAACCCTTGCGTGGCCTCTGCTCGTATATCTTGCTGGCCTCATGTGTGTCCTTGCTGTCTTTGCTTTCAGGTGGTTTATGTGACGGCTACCTTCCCGTACTTTGTGCTCATTGTTTTGATCATCAGAGGGGCCACACTGGAGGGCTCTCTCCAGGGCGTCGCCTTCTACCTCACACCAGACTGGAGCCGCTTGGCTAACGCACAGGTAGATTTGATGGGACAGTGGTAGTTGCTGAACACAGTGTATTGATGCTGCTTTAAAATAACTGCAGATATTTGTGTTTGTGTGTGTGTTGTGTTGCAGGTTTGGAATGACGCAGCCTCACAGATCTTCTACTCATTAGGTATTGGTGTCGGGGGGCTGCTCTCTATGGCCTCTTACAATAAGTTTGACAACAATGTCATCCGGTGAGTTTGGGCTCTGTTCTTTTGTTTTGTCATTTGTTTACTTGTTTTTCATGGCTCTGGTAATCATGGTTTGATTTTTGTGTTTGTTTGTTTTCAGGGACACTATAGTTATCACCACAGGAAACTGTTGCACCAGCTTCTTTGCTGGATTTGCTATATTCTCAGTCCTGGGTCACATGGCATACAGGAAGGGCGTTCCTGTGGGAGAAGTGGCAGATACTGGTAGTTTACCTATTTGGCTTCTATAACACAGAGAGCAACAATTAATTACTTATATCACGCTTTTTGAAATGCAATTTTTTTTCTGTTTACCTTCAGGTCCTGGGTTAGCCTTTGTTGCTTACCCAGAAGCCCTTGCACTGCTGCCAGGCTCGGTGTTCTGGTCAATTATGTTCTTCCTCATGCTCTTTATGCTGGGAGTTGATACCCTGGTAAGGCTGCACTCTATACAAAGATAGCAGCATAAATATAGGTCTAACATACGGATACCACCTATTAATGTTTTACACCTTCTTAATGCTTCACAGTTTGGAAACATGGAGGGCATCACTACGGCCGTGCTGGATGAGTTTCCTCACCTCCGTGGAAACCCACTGCAAAAGTCCTTATTCTTGGGTGCTTTGTGTTTTTTCTTTTACCTGATGGGCCTCCTGTTAGTCACTAATGTGAGTATGTTTGTTTTCAATGAGGAGTCTGACGTGTCTGCAGGCTTCATATGATCAGAAAGAGTCATATTTCCCATGCTGTCTGTCTATACAGGGAGGAATTTACTGGTTCACTCTCATTGACTCCTTCAGCACTAGTTTCGGCCTCATCATCATCACCCTCTTCATGTGCATTGGCATCTCCTTCTTCTATGGTATCTCATCTCACAGCCCTCATATTCACAATAAACTGCTTTAACCATGTCACTCCTTTTTTGATCATTTCAGTGACTGACTTGCTGTATGGCAAGTTTGTTTCTTTTCCCGCATTTTATTTTTTGAATAGAACATTGATCATATTTTTTTACATTCTGTTTTCTTGGTTGAATGATGAGTTTTTTGTTTTTTTTTTAATGATCTTCCTTGTATTTGAATGTTTGTTTGTTTTTTTCTAATTTGTTTTTTATTAGGCGTCAACCAGTTTTGTCAAGACATTTTGGATATGATTCGCCACTGCCCTCCCTGGTGTGGCAAAGTGCTGATTTACTTCAAAGCATGCTGGGTTTTCTGCACTCCGTTTCTTCTACTGGTGAGTTTACACTTGAACTGATATCGATATTGGTTGTTAGTAGATAACAACAGCACTGGTGACGGCTAACAAATGCTTGTGAAAATATCTCTCTAATAAATCGAAGAATCTTTGCATGCAGGTCTCAGTGTGCCTGGCTGTTTCTTGCTTTTCTTTGCATCCCTTCACCCAAAAGTTCAGACTTAGCAGGACTATTGTGAGATGTCTGATCAAATGCAGTGTTGAGGTTGTTGTTTTCTGCTAGCTTTCACAGCTCTAGCGCAACTTTCTGTCTCCCGTTCACCACAGGATCCATATGTTTGATTTGGCACAGATTTTATGGCACATGCCCTTCCTCACCCCACCTTTCCATTTACCCAGTCTAGGGACCAACACTTGGAGTACACTAGCTTTTGAGCCCATGAGGTGTGGTTTGTGACTCCTTGTCAGGAGTTTTCCTGCAACTCAGGTCAGAATAAATGACACTCAGACAGGTTTGCAGGTTTAACGTGCACACGGGTGAGAGCTCAAACGGAGACTCACACTCCGCAGCAGTTGCCACCCTTTATTTATACTCAAGCATGTTTGCGTCACAAACACATAAGTGGAAGAGATAACATACAAAGGTAGAGACTTCATCACAAAAAGGAAGAGATAACATACAAAGGTAGAGACTTCATCACAGATACATGAGTGGAAGAGATAACATACAACAGTAGAGACTTTATGCTGAGCTTTGCACAGTGTAACTTCTCTAGTAAAAAGAGCAAACACATCTAGAGAACCTCAAATGAAATGTACTTCTATACATAAACATAATAAAGTCTTTCAACACTCCTCTTGGTCTTTAAGTGGGAATCTCTGTGCATAAGGTGAATGTGTCCGTCATGAGGCATTTAGAGAAAGTCTGTAAATTGTAGCCACCGTAAATAACCCTTGTTGTGCACAACCTAATAGACAACGTACAAGTTTTGATATTCTTTTTAATTACATTTTTTTTAAGGTGGCTGACTTCAAGTCCAGAAGCTATAAAGCTGCTTTATCTTAAATGTTTTACATTCTGTGATCTAAATTATCTTATCTTATGGGGCGATCGTGGCTCAAGAGTTGGGAGTTCGCCTTGTAATCGGAAGGTTGCCGGTTCGAGCCCCGGCTTGGACAGTCTCGGTCGTTGTGTCCTTGGGCAAGACACTTCACCCGTTGCCTACTGGTGGTGGTCAGAGGGCCCGGTGGCGCCAGTGTTCGGCAGCCTCGCCTCTGTCAGTGCGCCCCAGGGTGGCTGTGGCTACAATGTAGCTTGCCATCACCAGTGTGTGAATGTGTGTGTGAATGGGTGGATGACTGGATATGTAAAGCGCTTTGGGGTCCTTAGGGACTAGTAAAAGCGCTATATAAATACAGGCCATTTACCATTTTTTTTTATTCTGTTTCCATTATTGTTTATCTGGCACAGCTATTATGGGATGAATAAGTAAAAAAAACCCACTTCTGGTAGCTGTGGTGATACTGCTAACTATAGCACACATTATATGCTTGTTGATTTGTATCATTTTAAAACCAAATTCCTCCCTTTGTTATTTATGCTGCTGCTTCTAAAGCATGAACTTGGCATCCAGCGGGTAAATCTATTAGCATCTGCATTCAAGTGTACCAGTGAACCTTTAGTAAAAGCGCGAAAGAGAGTTCATAGTGTCCTATTAAATGACTGAAGGGTTTGACTCAGAAACTAACAAAGGAACTAAAATGACGTCACTCATTTGAAAGCGTCAGCTGCCCACTGTGCTGACAACTTTGGGGCATGTAAATAATTGAAGAGGAGAAACTGGAATTCGATCTGCAGTTTTTCTGTGCCGGCCCTCCTCTCTGCTTCTTTTTGTGTTGAGATGAAATGATCCTCTGCTCACTCTGTGCTTTTCCCGTTGCATAGTTCATCCTGACATACATCTTCATTGAGATGTACAGAACGTCACTCCACTACGGCGACTATGTGTATCCACTGTGGGGTAAAGCCTTAGGTGTGTGCATGGGGGCCACCTGCTGTTTACAGATCCTCATCTGGGCTATCGTTGCCATCACCAAAGAAACTGGAACACTGAAAGAAGTCAGTATCACCACTCATTAACGTACACTACTGTCACAGTAGCAGTCTTAAGTGGGTTTGTGATTATCTCTGGCTTTCTCTCTCTCTCTTTGTTTTGACAGCGTTTCCAGAAATCAATCCGACCACTAAATTCCTGGAGGCAAAATACCCTGAACAGCACCGTGAGAGCAGAGGAGCACGTAGAGCCTGAGCAAGTGGATGCCCCGTACACAGTCACGCTCACCGACATGGACATTACTGCGATGACGTGGGACATGGGAAGCCAGGCATAAGTGAACAGAGCATTTGTGATTACACCATGATGAGCAGACTTTGCTCTAAACAGATGGAGGAATTTACTATTTTGTTACTGGCTGAGGTTCAGCTCTGGAGGCTATGCTCGCTCACACTGTGTCCTGTGTCAGGGCAGTATCGAATGCCTGCTATATTTATACTATTATGTACATAAATATAGATTTTTGAAATTCTTTTTCACTGCTTAGAATGTAAGGTTACGAGGTTTTAGAGGAAGCTTGGATTATCATATATATGCAGGATTTCATGAGAATGCGTCAATGAAGATGATGTTGCAATGTATATGCTGAACTTATTTATTATTATTATAGTAGCACAGTGCAATGAACTTCTACTGACAGTTGCCAGCAGCTGCTGTCCAAGGAGGAAAATAACTTTGTGACTGTTACCCTTCATGCCACTTATGGAACCAGAGAAGTGACCACGAATCATCATGCTTTCAGACTAAATGGCGTTGAAACATAGCTGCACTGAAGCAAGAATATTTTAAATTCCATTTTAAAATGAATGATTGCAAAAATGATTGGTAGAATAAATACATTATTTATACAATATGTTGCCAAATGAACTATTTCTCATGGTATTGTCTGTATTTCAATGCAAGAAGACTCCTGACTCTGACCATTTGCATTTCAAATAACCAGGTTCCCGCAGTTACGCAGAAGATGTAGTGTTTGCGTCATGTCTAGTGAAAACTTGTCTTTGCACATCTAAGTACAACCGAGTAACAACTAAATACTAAAATAGTACTGTAGATAGATTTCACATATATCAAAGTTGGTTATCTTTTGGGGAAAAAAATCAAATGGCATTGTTAAAGTTGATGCTTGTTTTGTTTTTTTTCTCTTAATTTCGCTGAATTTGACAGTCGTTTACTCTCACTTTTATTGTTAGTTGTGTTTTTTGTTTGTTTTTTTAAGTGGAAAGCTAATTAAGTCATTTGAGTTAAATGTAATCTGGACATGCTTATTGTTGGAGTTTTAAATTTGCCCCCATTTGCAACAACCTTCTGTGTTGTAAAGTTGATGACTGTAACATCAGAACATACAGGGTAGAAATTACATGTAGACCCTTTTAGTGTTCATCTGTTTAAGAGGGCTCACAGAACCGGTCTTCTCAGATTAAGCATTTAAAGCCTGAACCATGAAATAATTGCCAAGAAATTACTTTTTTTTTTTTTTTTTTTTTTTTTTTTGGAAAATGTGCAATTGCTTATTTAAGTTTCTGAAGTTGAAAACAAAAACAAGTATAAATTTGCAGGTTTTAGTTTTAATTTGTATCAAGCTTTTTTGCAAGCTATTGCTTAAAATGTATTGTGCAATTTGCCTAGTACGTAAATTATGCGTTTTTAATCCCTTTCTGAATTTCAGAATTACAAAATAAATATCATCACAAGAGGGTTTTTATTATTATTTATTCTTTTCTTGCAGAATCTCTTCATAAACCTTTACATAAACATTCAAGAACATTTTTCGTCGGTTCCTTTTGCTTATAGTATATTTTTTATAGTGTCCAATTAAAAACTATTTGAAGCTATGGGATGAGTATATATAGCCCATAACAGTTTAACTTAACTTAATGAGAAGAATTAGTGTGATCACAGAGGCCAGTCATGTGGTAGTCTGCCTCTTAACAACACACATTCATTGGCCACTTTGTTAGGTACAGCTGTTCAACTACTTATTAGTTACCGGTATATGGCAGCCACTTGATGTGTTCAGGCATGTAATCATGGTCAAGATGACCTGATAATTTTAAACCACACATCAGAATGGGAAGTAAAGATGATTTAAGAGAACTGAGTGTGGTTGTTGTTGCCAGGCAGACTGGTCTCTGTACTTCAGAAACAGCTGATCTACTGCGATTTTTAGACCCAAACATCTCTAGGGTTTACAGAGAACGAAAGCATGGATCCATCCTGTCTTGTTTTAATGGTTCAGCATGCAGTGGTGATCTAATGGTGTGAGGGAAATTTTCTTGGCACACTTTGAGCCCCTTAGTACCAATTAAGCAGCATTCAAATTGTACCACAGTGTATTGCTGCTGACCATGACCAACCCTTTATGACTACCTTAGGATAGGTTCTTCCAACAGGATGATGTGCCATATCACAAAACTCAGATAATTTCAAATTAGTTTCTTGAACATGACTGCAAGTTCAGTGTAGTCAAATGGCCTCCACAGTCACCATGTTGTGGGTGGAAGATTTGCATCGTGGCTCTGTAACAGAAAAATATGCTGCATTTCTGGGATGTGGTCATATAAGTATGGTTAAAAATCTCTGAGAAATGTTTCCAGCACCTTGCTGCATCTGTGTCACACAAAATAGTAGTAGTAGTAGTGTGCAATACTGCAAATTTTGGTATCAATCCAATAACGAGTATATACAGGGCCAGTATTGCAATAGATAGCAATACCAATACTTTTAACCTATAAAGACAGGCTATAAATAAAGTAGATGTGACTGTCCACGCAAAAAGGTTTAGACATTTTTCACAGTGTATGTTTGACACGTTTTTTCATTTCCAAAAAATTATATATATGTATATATGTGTATATATATATAAATACTAAACAAAGAAAGTATCATTCCTATTCCACTAGTATGATCCAGTACAAATACCAGCATTGGTATCAATGCTACCAATATTTGGATCGATCAGCCCACCTCTATCACAGAGACTTAAGGCAGTTCTGAAGGCAAAAGGGGGTCCAACCCTCTAGTGGCAAAGTGAACCTAATAACGTGGCTGGTGAAATGTATTTCCACATGAAAGTAGGATGCTACTAATAGACAATAGAGGTGAACGAGGATCCTATAACTAGGTAATATGTACCAAAAGCTTGCAGCACAAGTTACTTGTGAATTTTTGCCACCAGAGGGCAACGATTGCACGCTTAGAAGTGAAGTTTTACACACTAACAGAGCTGCCAAATAAACATGTACAGGTGTGCGATAATTTAAACTTATCACCCGCGAGATAAAAACCAGGTGAACGGGATAATAATGGTCATCTAACTGCATTTAATAACCTCTACCGGGAAGCCTTAACATCGTTGTTTTTTTGTTTTTACATATTACTTTAATCTAACATGAATTATTGCAGAGGCACAGCCTCCACTCCCGAAATAGTGCAGCCTGTAAGTGCCACATAAACTAATTGAGGAACACGACATGAGTAAATAAATCCTTCCGATAATAAGCAGAAGGTTTACATGCTGTGGGTTGCAGGTGTATATAAAGGGGCTATATTACTATTTCTGTTCCAGGCGCGTTCGAGGTCGAACAGGATGTTGCGTAGACTTTTTTTTCCCGCGTTTTCCAGTCCTCGGGTTGGGTTAGTTCGTTTGCGGTTTGTCACGTGATCCCGGCGTAACGCTACATCGGTCTGTTTGCAATGACAGACCTCTTGTCTATGTGTGAGAAGTTATAAATCGGTTGTTTGACAGAGGTTTTGACAACACAGAGTTTAAACAGAGACAGACGATCGCAAAAACACAGATGAACAAAGTCGTGTGTACAGGTTTTTGAGCACTAACCGCCGAGTACTCGTAACACCATTGCAGCGTCGCCAACGGCGCTTCACCGCGCAGTACGTTGATACAAAACGAGCATCCACAAATCTACAGTTGCAGGAAGTCACTGAGGTTTTGTTGTCACGGAACTCTTGAAGTGGGATTTACACTTAGTAAACAATATCAGTCGGCTTTAAAACATATTCGAGTTTTATCTGTTAATTATTGGCCGTTACGTTACCGGATACTAAGATGCCTCCTAAAAAACGCAATTCTGGGGCGACACAGAGCAAAGAGATGAAACCCACTGCTGAAAATGCCTCTCCAGAGAAGAAGGAGAGTCCCGAGTTATCTCTTAAAAAGTAAGAGAAGTAATGATCGCCTCTCCGTCAAGCCACAGTAGCTTCAGTTTGTGGCTTTGGAAAATTACAAAAAACAAAAAAAGTTGACATTGTAGACAGATATTTTGGTCTTTCCCCCAGCTACGTTTATCTTGCTCGCTAGCTTGTGCGACTAAACGTCAGGATGATCTGTTAGCTGTGTCCACCGGCCTAATAACAGCGAGTTTAAAAGCATCTTTAGCCCCACACAACTGGTCAAAGAGTGTAACTATTAAGTAATGAATGAAACTTGAAATGTAGCCTGGGTATAGCTCTCAAACACAGCCTGTGTTTGAGAGCTATACCCTACCTACTATACCCTGTACCCTGCTCAGACTGACTGGCAGTCAGAGTACTTCACAAGACAAGACCTTTGTCTTGAGTGCAGTTGTTTTGATTTCCTGAAACCTTATTCGTGTTTTTCGTGGTTGCTAACCTCTGGTTTCCATCTTTTAGGCACGGAGACAAGGATGCTGAGTTTGTGACTCTGTGCAAGAGCCTTCATGTGACTGACCCTGTATGTGATCGAGCCTGGACGCTGTGGAAAACCGTTCAGGAGTCCGTGGATGAAGCTGCTGTACGTATTTGCACCTACTGTAGTTCAGTAGTTCCACTCTACATTTATAATACTGCAATCCTGTCGCCTGTCCTGGAAAAAGCACGAGTGGAAATCGATCATTTAAAATTAGAACAGTATTTGGCCTAAAGCAATACATATTGCAGGATGGAATGGTGGTGCAGTGGTTATCACTGTCACCTCACAGCAAAATAAATCCAGGCTGTATGTTCTCCTGTTTCTCGTTGGGTTCTCACTGGGGTCAGAACAGAGACAGTAAGTTTGGTGATTCTAAACTGATTGACTTTATGCGTTAGCCCTGTGGCCTGTCAAGGGTGTTTAAATATAATATAACCCTCGCACACTGTTCAGTTCAGCATTATTTTTATTCATTAATAACAGTTTAGTCCATATGACCTTTCTCAAGTATAGAGAAACCAGGGTGTATCCAATCTCTCCTGCAAATCAGAGCTTCTACAACATTGTTGAAAGACATCCAAAAAGAAGACAAAGAAGAAGAAAAGTCCACAAACATGGCAAATCACAAGCTGTGGGAAGAAGACAACACAAAGTTAGTGATAGGCATGTAAATGCATGGGGAGCGAAAGAAAGTACAATTTGTACTGTTTGGGCCGTAAACCCTTTATGTAAGTTTTCTTTTTGCAGTACTGAGTCCAATTTTAAATCAAAGCTTACACACAGTATCCACTGTGCCTTATTGGTGAAATAGGATATTAGGAGGGCTAAGTATTTTTGCCTTTTAATCAGTAGCCAGGTACAGTCCAAAAATAATCATTTAAAAAGTACTGTAAGAAATAAAGTGGAATAGCTTTATAATCCCCTTAAAAACAGTTGCTCTTCCATTCCTAAAAAAAGGTGAAAAGGTGTGACACGAGCATCATCTAACATTGTTCTTTGTCATTTGGTTTCAGGACAGTCAGAAGAAGCTTTGGGGTGCTTGTCTGTTTGTGACTGTGACAGACATGGATGCCACCTGTTTCACCTTGACCCAGGTTCTGAAAGCAGTCTGTCTGAAGTAAGCGCTTGCTATGTTTTCTTGACAAAACATAACCACACAGTCCAACTGTTGGCATGAGATATTGGTGAATGTGAAATTTTGTTGGGTAACTGATGACTTCAGCCTTGCTTGAGTATTAGCTGCTGGGATTTTCATTCTTTGGAAATAGGAAACTTTTTTTTTTTCAGGGTAGCAGACAGAACTTTATTTGGGATTGCTCTTTGAAATAAAGTAGAAAAACTACAGGCTGTGTAAGAACATTAAACATGTATCCTCCTGCTACGTACTCCAGCTGTAGATAGATCTTTGTGTGTTCTCCCTTTGATGGATGGAAAAGCAGTCCAGGTACAGTGGGGCAAAAAAGTATTTAGTCAGCCACCGATTGTGCAAGTTCCCCCACCTAAAATGATGACAGAGGTCAGTAATTTGCACCAGAGGTACACTTCAACTGTGAGAGACAGAATGTGAAAAAAAAAATCCATGAATCCACATGGTAGGATTTGTAAAGAATTTATTCGTAAATCAGGGTGGAAAATAAGTATTTGGTCAATAACAAAAATACAACTCAATACTTTGTAACATAACCTTTGTTGGCAATAACAGAGGTCAAACGTTTACTATAGGTCTTTACCAGGTTTGCACACACAGTAGCTGGTATTTTGGCCCATTCCTCCATGCAGATCTTCTCGAGAGCAGTGATGTTTTGGGGCTGTCGCCGAGCAACACGGACTTTCAACTCCCGCCACAGATTTTCTATGGGGTTGAGGTCTGGAGACTGGCTAGGCCACTCCAGGACTTTCAAATGCTTCTTACGGAGCCACTCCTTTGTTGCCCGGGCGGTGTGTTTTGGATCATTGTCATGTTGGAAGACCCAGCCTCGTTTCATCTTCAAAGTTCTCACTGATGGAAGGAGGTTTTGGCTCAAAATCTCACGATACATGGCCCCATTCATTCTGTCCTTAACACGGATCAGTCGTCCTGTCCCCTTGGCAGAAAAACAGCCCCATAGCATGATGTTTCCACCCCCATGCTTCACAGTAGGTATGGTGTTCTTGGGATGCAACTCAGTATTCTTCTTCCTCCAAACACGACCAGTTGAGTTTATACCAAAAAGTTCTACTTTGGTTTCATCTGACCACATGACATTCTCCCAATCCTCTGCTGTATCATCCATGTGCTCTCTGGCAAACTTCAGACGGGCCTGGACATGCACTGGCTTCAGCAGCGGAACACGTCTGGCACTGCGGGATTTGATTCCCTGCCGTTGTAGTGTGTTACTGATGGTGACCTTTGTTACTTTGGTCCCAGCTCTCTGCAGGTCATTCACCAGGTCCCCCCGTGTGGTTCTGGGATCTTTGCTCACCGTTCTCATGATCATTTTGACCCCACGGGATGAGATCTTGCGTGGAGCCCCAGATCGAGGGAGATTATCAGTGGTCTTGTATGTCTTCCATTTTCTGATGATTGCTCCCACAGTTGATTTTTTCACACCAAGCTGCTTGCCTATTGTAGATTCACTCTTCCCAGTCTGGTGCAGGTCTACAATACTTTTCCTGGTGTCCTTCGAAAGCTCTTTGGTCTTGGCCATGGCGGAGTTTGGAGTCTGACTGTTTGAGGCTGTGGACAGGTGTCTTTTATACAGATGATGAGTTCAAACAGGTGCCATTCATACAGGTAACGAGTGGGGGACAGAAAAGCTTCTTACAGAAGACGTTACAGGTCTGTGAGAGCCAGAGATTTTCCTTGTTTGAGGTGACCAAATACTTATTTTCCACCCTAATTTACGAATAAATTCTTTACAAATCCTACCATGTGAATTCATGGATTTTTTTTTCACATTCTGTCTCTCACAGTTGAAGTGTACCTCTGGTGCAAATTACTGACCTCTGTCATCATTTTAAGTGGGGGAACTTGCACAATCGGTGGCTGACTAAATACTTTTTTGCCCCACTGTATAGGTTCCAGGTCCACTGTTCATCTCTCAGTTGGATAGTTTGTGAAACAGATTGATGGACGAATGGATGAAAGTTACTTCGATGCTAATTCCATCTTTTCTTTTGTAGCGTCAAACAATTTATAGATCTGGTGAGGAAGTTGGATGTGAACTTGGATACGATAAGCACCAAGGTGAACTCTGCACTGTCACGGCTGGACAAGAAGTATGATGTGATGCTGGCTCTTTACCAGAGGTTTGAGAAGTAAGTGATCATACAAATAGATTGCATTGGATTAATGTAAAAATATTTGTAGTTTAAGTGTAAATGGAGAAAAAAAAAATGCAAATTTGTTCTGTTTCAGAACTTGCAAGAAAATTTTCAATCTGACGTCTGATGGGAAGTAAGTTGCAAACTTCTAAATGTGGGAAATATGTTGGTGACATTGATTATGTTATGATATTTATTGTCTTGTGTGTTAGCGGTTTTGCACTTGTTATGAAAGGTTGATGCTGCTGCGTGATTAATTATTTGGTGTATCATTTTCAAGGGAGAGGGAAACCGTGCGGACTTGCTGGACGATGTTTCTGTTGGCCAAAGGTCGGTTAAGCTTATGAATACATTAACAACAACAAGAACAAGTAGAATCAAGCTGTTAACACACGTTATGGAATTGTTTTCATGCCTCTCTGTCATCTTCTTTTCACCCTTCCTTCCTCCTTCGTGTTCAGCTGCAGATAATAGTCGAATTGGAAAATCATGGTTTAAGTTTTGTTGTTTTAAGAAGGCATCGGAATTGTTGTGACGATGCGTCTCATGTGTTGCATCTGTGCTGCGTGCAGGAAGGGCCTTACAGATGGAGGATGACCTGGTCATATCATTTCAGCTGCTTCTTTGTACGCTGGAGTTGATCATCAAGCGCTGCTCTCCAGACCTTCTGCAGCCTCTTTACAGTAAGCTTCAGTAGCATTTAATTTACACGTTCTTTCCTTTTAATGTTTTTATGACTTCAGATTGTACAATAAGTAAATGTAAAGTCAAATAATTACCATTTTTTTGTCATGAAAGTTTGGTTTAAAGCTCCTTGAGGTTTTATTTATTTATTTATTCTCAGAATCAGCCATCAGCAAAATTCAGAGCCCTCCAACACGAACATCTCGTCGCAACCAGAGCAAAACTAAATCCCGAGCTGTGGAGCCAGAGGTTGATGTACAGCTTCTCGAAACCTTATGCAAAGAGAATGAATGCAGTGCAGAAGAGGTGTGAACACTTAAAAAAAAAAATCTCATAGTCTTACTGGACAAACACAACTCAAAATGTATTTATGTGAATTTATTTGCAGGTGAAGAATGTATACCAAACCAGTTTCATGGCTTTCTTAGAGTCGATGGATCTTTCAAGAAGCCCAGATTTTCCTCAGGTAGGACGTCATTGTCAGAACACCTGCTCCACTGTTTGGTTTTATTCTCACTAACTGCATTTGGAGTTTCCATTCATTATCTCTTCCTGCCCGCTTCTGCCGCTGTAGAGCGTTTGAACGTCTGGCAGGTGTTGGTTGCGCTATTTGCTACCTATATGTGTTTGTTTTCACGTATATCGTGTTGGGTAAATGTGCACTCAAGCAGGAGGTCCTTTGTAGTGTGTCACTATAATGCAGAGACAGGATGCTACTGTTTGCTGACAGTGGTACACTCCTCTAAACGACTATAGTGAACACGGTGACGGGCAGATGGTGTGCATTTTTGCTTAAGTGTCTTAAATAAATAATGTACAAATGTCACCATGATAGGCTGTCATCAAAAGGCCTGGGTTACTCGGGGAAAAAACAAAGATTTCGATGAGTTTTTGGCGCTGGTTATTGCTTTGCCTGTTGTCTGGTTCAGGTGTAGAATAAGCAAAGCTTTGCCTTCTTCCAATCAGCTGTAATCTGAATCGGAAACCTTTGAGAGCTGTGTCTGTTGGCTTCTGCCTCACCGCGCGTTACTTTTTGCTGTGACTTTCAACCCAGGTGAATGATGTCGACCAACAATATGAAGAACACTACCTCAAGAGCAGAGACATTGACGGACGAATGTTTTTCAATGGAGACGAGACTGTTCTTGCACCTAAAGTCGAGATGTAATCCCTTTTTTCTTCAGCGTACAGTGTTTAGATGTTGAGTTCTTAAAATAACTTAAAGAAGATGTTCAATAATCTTTTCCTGCATTCAGATCACAAGTGGAGAGAACACCAAAGAAGAACCTGTCAGATGAAGATGGATTACTCGTCCCTCCTCAGACACCCATCAGGTGGGCACTTAGCAGTTCCTCACTGACTGTATCTATCATTCTTTGTCTAGAGGGAAAGGACAGAGGTCTCATGTTTGCTTCTGCAGTATTGTGTTGTTGTTTTTTTTAAGCACTGTTTAGCTACTCACCTCTCAATATGTACATTTGTGCATTTCGGTGATGATTGTTTATTTCCCTTTAAGTTGCCAGCAATTTAAATGACATCTCTAAGATGCAGATTATAACCTTACTTGATTAAAAAGGACCTTATAGTCCTTGTCTGATTTTTTTTTTCTTTTTCTTTTCTAATCTCCCATCAGAGCTGCCATGACCTCCATTCAGCTGCTGAGGGGTGATCTCACTTCCAGTGGGGACCAGCCATCTGCTAATTTGGTTACATATTTCAAAGTGGGTCTTTAGAAATTTGCCTCTAATTAAAAGATAAAACTGCAGATTTTCAAACATACCTTTCTCTCTCCCTCTTGCTATCCCTTCATCAGCACTGCACAGTGGATCCGACGCAGGATGTGCAGAAGCGCTTGGAGACACTTGGACAGGTGTTCAGTCAAAGATTCGGTCAGGCGGTCGGCCCACGCTGCGTAGTGTACGGCAGGCAGGTATGGAGACGAAAAGGAGGAACAATGGCAACATGTTGTCCCTCATATTCTTTTGTTTTTATCTGAATTGAGTTGCTTTTCTCTTTCAGAGATTCACCCTCGGTGTCAGACTGTATTACAGAGTAATGGAGGAAATGCTGAAATCGGTACAGTTTTGGTTTTTTTTCCTTCTTTTTTTTTTTTAGACTGTTGGGTTAAGAGAATTTTACTGTTTTGTTTTGGATGTTTACCTTTAATTTCAAATCTATCTGATAAGATTTATAGACATCAGTCACCAAATTATTATACAAGAGTTTTCTTTTTTCTTTCTTTCATCCTATTTAAACTTTTATCAATTAAAAGATAAATCCCACTCTAGGAAGAAAATATTTTTGGTAAATCTTAACGTTGAGGTCTTATTTTTTGGGGGTGTTTTTTTTTTTTTTTTTTTTTTTTTTTTTAAGAGAAGCGCCTGTCTGTGCAAAATTTCAGGTATGTTTTTTTTTTTCTCCACTTTTATCAGAATAGTAGGAATTATGACTCTAATCCATGTTGGTGCATTGGAATTGCATGCATGCTTTCTATTGTTTTGACACACACTTTCTTCCATGGAGCTGAGTCATTTGATTTCCTTTCCAGTAAACTCCTGAATGACTCCACATTCCACACATCGCTTTTGGCTTGTGCTTTGGAGGTAGTCATGGCAACATATGGAGGCATGTCCTATAACTTTCTTATAAATGAATAATAATATAGCTCTTTATGAAGTATTCTGTATTTTTGGTCATCTGTTATCAGTAATTAAAGTTTTACACATCTTTTACGTGTGACCAATTCTAATGTTGTTCTTTGCTCCACATGAGTAGAGAGCAGTTTCAAAAATGGAGGGTACAGCCATGGAGGAGCCGACTCAGCCGAAACAGATGTGTGTTTCCCCTGGATACTAAATGTGTTCAACCTGACCGCCTTTGATTTCTATAAAGTTATCGAGAGCTTTATCAAGGCCGACCCCACGCTAAGCAAAGAGATCGTCAAACATCTGGAGACCTGCGAGAACCTCATCATGGAGAGACTTGCATGGAGGACGGTCAGTTTGATCTTTCATTGCTATTAGACTAGGATGCCAATAATATCACAGCATTTCACAGAGATTGATGTATACATGACATAGAGACTCTTTGGATATCAATCATTTAGGATTTATTGGCCCAAAAGAAGCAGATTGTTGTCACTGTTTAAGAGTCACTTAAAAAAATAAAATAAGAATAAGAATAAGAATAAGAATAATGAAAGGAGATTCTACATAAATCCTGCTTTCACTACTGATCTCATTCCATGTCAGCATTTCCCAAACATACGAAGCTGCTTTGCCAAAAATAAAATGATTTCACAGTGCTTCTTTACTCTGACTGCTCCACACGTGGGGCACACACACACGGAAACTGAAAACAACAACAGATTACACTTTTAACATACACAAAGGTGGTTATGGTTTCACTATAATGAAAAAAAAAATATAGGTAACAGGATACTTTTTGCAAATTGACAAAAGTACAGTAAAGCAATCTAATGCTTTTGTTAATAAAGAGGTCTTACAGTACTTGTGTCACCGGCTACCACTGCCTCCACTACTGGGCACCTCCCTGTGCACCGGGCTGCTGGAGAAATAGTAGATAAGTGGGTTGAGGCAGCAGTTGAAACTGGCTAAGGAAAGGACCACAGGATGCATAGCCTTGGTCGCCTTAGCCAGGCCACAATGTGGCAACAGCTTCATGTGTGTGAGAGTATATCCCAGCAGGTTGATGTGATAGGGGAGAAAGCACAGGAGAAACACACCCAGCACTGAGTAAATAACCCTTAGAGTGTGCAGATGGCCGTGGCGGTTGCTGCGGCAGCGGTGTCTCATCTTGCTAAGGACACTCAGCACCCGGCAGTAGCTGTAGAGGAGTACAAGAGTGGGCAGCAGAAATGACCCCAGGGCTATGCCCAGGAATAGCAGGATAAGGGTGCGATGGTGTCGTGAGGACGGATCCAGCAGACAGGCCTTGTTCTGGTGAGAAGCCGCCAACCGCAGCGCAGGCAGACACACACTGAGCCCCAGAACCAGGCACCAGATCCCTCCGCTCACCACCCGTGCGGCACGCAACCTGCGCAGTGTCGATGCCAGGGGGTGCACTACAGCAAAGTAACGGTCCACAGCAATGCACACCAGGAAGAAGATGCCCCCATACAGGCTGATGTATTTGAGAGTGAATGTGATCTGGCAGTAAGCTGGCCCAAGAGTCCAACTGGGGCTGTCCTCTGTCTTGGAGGACAAGGCTTGAGCCTTTTGGTGGTAGTAGTAGATTCTCAGAGGTAGAGAGATGACAAAGAACAAGTCAGTCGTCGATAGACTGGCCATGTAAATGGCTGTGCTGTTCATGGTACAGGGAGACAGACACAGTCTGCGCAGAACCAGGCTGTTGGTGGCCACCCCCAGCAGGAAGATGACACTGTAGGATACTTTGTAGAAGGTGAAGCGGTAGCTTATATCGACAGTACAGTTAGACAAAAGTGAGACCGGCTTGGCTGTCAAATCAGTCATATTCCACTGCTCCATGTCTCAAAATGATTTGACCACTTCCAGCACGTCAAATTGTTATGGTCTTATATCTGGAGGAGGGTTAGATCGGTTGAAGAGGGCATATGTGACGAAAGATCTGCTGGAGCAGTTAAACGTGTAGTAAGTTAAAACTTAATCAAACAAAACAATTTTTTTTAAAAATTGAAATGCAAATTTGCTGAGATGACACGAATACACATCCGTATATATTCCGCTCTATGTTATATAGAAAACAAATTGATTTTGCCAATAAATTTTTACCAGCAGCTTCCTGCTTGTAAAGAAACAAAGCAAACATTTGGTGTCATTACATGCATAAAGCCAACCGAAAAAGCGCTTAACTGATGTATTTCATTACATTGACAGATTAAATACACATTTACCAGAGCCCATAAAATCAATCTTTTTTTTTTTTTAATTGAGATTTTATAATTGAACTAAGTTTGCACTGCATAGGCAATCAGGTGAGCATTTTTCCGGTTGTAAAGGCAGAGTCTGATTATAGCTTTTTACAATTGTTTGTTGTGTGTGATCATGATTAAAGTTTATCTTTTTTTTTCTTGCCAGCTCATCTATAATGTAGGTCATTAAAGAACCGATTCAGTCACAAAATGAGCATCAATAGAAGAATAAAAAAATATATATATTTCTAATATCTAAAAACTAACTTTAATTCAAATTTGGAAATAACTTTTCAAAATTAAAATAGGTGACAAATTCTCTTTCTCATAGCGTTATTATTAAGACAGATGTTTTTAATTCGATGACCTGTCAGATTTAAAATAGAGGACCCCATCTTTAAATCTGTATGGATATTACAAATTTTTCTGCAAAAGTTTGAGCAATTAATATGCTTAATTTAGAGAAAAAGATTATACTTAATTTTACAGTTGCCACAACCAAAGAGAATATTTAAAGGTAGAATTTAGTCACTCACCAGTAGCAGGATGGGAGCATTGTCAGTGTGATTAAAGGTATTTTTCCAGTCAGCTGGTGTTTAACTGTGGCTAGCTTGTCAGGATGCTGCAGTTGGGAATCTGCCGCTGACTGAAGCAGTTCACACCTAGACACCAACAGGTCTCTCTCTCTCTCTCTCTCGCCCTCTCTCTCTCGCCCTGTTCCTCTAATTTATAGCTGACTGATTACTTTTAATGACCTTTTTTAGAGGGATACAAGAGTTCTAATCTCTAGTTTAGCCTACAGGTTGTCAGATGTCAATTTAAATTTTTTTTCATTGACCTGAAAATTGTCAGATTAACTTTCGGGTTTTTTGTAGGCGTTCTGGTAGGATTGCATTTATATAGCGCTTTTCTAGACACTCAAAGCGTTTTACAATACCTTGTTTACAACACCTTGTTTACAACACCTTGTTATGAACTTATGTGAGTGACTAGAGTTAATCATAAACTGTAGCTCATAAAGTAAAAGCAATAATTCACTGAAACAAGGGGCTGTAAGCAGTAGTGCCACTTGCGTGTCAGTCCATGAACACATAAAAATTAAAAATCCCTGTGAGTGCATACAAAGTTTTATTATTTGTATTTGTAATATGTTCTTGTGCTGTAATGTGCAGAACTTTTCTTATGGTTTGTGTAAAATTTGTTTATCTTTTTGGGAAGTTGATCAGCATACAATGATCTGACCAAATACTGCTCTACAAAAAACCCCTCTAGACTGTTTTATTACCCTTTCCCTCAAGAGGCAAGTTGTTTCTTGCCTGCTTTAGTTTTACAGCCCTTTCTCATCATTGCTGGTGAGGTGATGAGTCTAACCATGTCAGTACAGACCCTGAGGCTGTCGGCAGGTATGTGCAGTGTTCAGTCTTGCATCACACAGCTTGTCAAAAGCATGGAAGAAATATACACATCGTTGCTACGAGACTTATGTTTTCACACAGTGTGAGCCTGGATCCGGTCTAAATTAGTTTTTCAGGATTTCCAACAAATTTTAGGAACTTGGAAAATCTATATTGTGTGTAGGTTGAGTTTTTTACGGTTCCAGTGTTGTTGTATATGCAGAAATGATGACATTTTGACCCACTTTTATTTTTCTAAAGACCATCAGTTTTGTTGGAACACTTTTCATTTATTACCAACACATGTAATGAAACAATTTAAAACTTTATAAATGTATTGTGCACTGAGGGGCCAACCACACACATATGACTAACCAGTCTAGATGACTTATTTAGCTGAGAACAGTGAAAGCCACATGGGGAAAAAAATTCTTCCAAGATAGGGCCAAGTATTTCACAACCTACCGCTTGATCAAACAAGTATTGAATTCAATACACAACACTTCAAAATGTTACAAAAATATTTAATTCACTTTCAGAATGGGAATCAAAGCTTTTATAGAACATGATTCTCTAAAAACTTCTTAAAAACCTCAATACACATAAAACAAATACTTGAAAACCGTACAGGGCAGTAGATGTAAAGAGTTGTAATACTGGTTCAGCATTGTCAAATTAGGGTTTTTCTTAAAGGTGAGTCTTCTCTGTAAAAGAAGTTCTTTCTTTGTGTTAGTACCTATTGTTGACTGAATCATTATCTTCCGGTCTAAAGTCTCTGTTGTGTCCGATAGGTGAGCCGGACTCCCTAGTAACCATTTTGTTTATGTTGTTTTTCTAAGGCACTCTGCTTTCACCCATGTCCTCTGATTTGAATCAAGTTTTGTCAGCCATACTCGCTTAAGTCAAATTTGTAGCTCACATTACCAGGCTGTCTTTAGACCGTGGACTCATTGTCAAATATTTTGGGTCTCAGACTTTTCAGCGTCAAACTCTTGGGCGTTGAACTTGGGCTGCTTTGCGAGCTGTCCATCTGTAGTCTTTCGAATAGCCTGGCACCATTTTGCCATGCTGAAGACTTTCGTTTAATGGAGCTTTGAATGGCCTCTGAAGTGAAGTAGTAGACAACTGGATCAAAGCAGCAGTTGGTCACCGCTATGCACAGAGCGATGGGGTAGATGGTTCTTACAACATGTTCTGCAAAGCATCCCTTTAGGATTTTGGAGCGGACCAAGGTGTAGAAGATGAGATTCACATTGTAGGGAATGAAACAGAAGCAGAAGATGAGCAAATGCACAAAGACCATCCTCAGGATTTTTGCTTTGTTGAGGTTTCCTCCGCGGCTGATGGTTTTGGGGTTCCTCAGTATCCTTAGCACCATGACAGAGCAGAACACATTCAACATCAGTGGGATAAGGAAGCCTGCAGTCTCAATAAACATCACCACCCACGAAAGCTCAGCCTTCCATTGTTTTTTTGAGTAGTTTTCAAAGCAAAACTGTGGCGTTGAGTTTACCGAACCCGAGTTAGTATTGTTCGGTGAAGTGGTGTCCAAAAAGGCTCCAGTGGTTATACCTCCAGAGAGAATGATCACCCAAACTGTAAGGCAGGCCAGCTTGGCATTTTTCCTCGTACGAATTGTTTGGGACCGAAATGGATACACAATTGCTAGGAAACGATCGACACTGATGCAGGTGAGGAAGAGGATGCTGCCGTACATGTTGGTGTAGAATAGGGCCACGGAGATCTTACAGAGCGCACTTCCAAAGAGCCAGTCACGTTTGATGAAGTACACAATCCGAAAAGGCAGGCTGAGGACAAAGAGAGAGTCCGAAACCACGAGGTTCATCATATACGTCGTGGTCTCATTCCGTATCTTCAGCGTACAGCCAAAAATGTACACAGCCACCGCGTTGAAGGTAAGTCCGACTACAAACACCATGGAGAAAACCGAGGCGTAGAGATTATACTTGAAGTTGTCACTCTTGTTGCAGTCCGTGCTGTTATCCATCTTTAAACCAGAGTGTACACTTACAGTGGAAAGAGTGAAAAGGTTCTCCTTACTCACAGTTGGTGTTCGTTATGCCATGAAAAAAAGAAGGTATACAGCAGCTCCTTGATATACCATCCAAAGTCCTTTCCATCTACTTGTCCTGCTGTGGCAGCTGTCCTGTATGTGCAGCGATGGTCATTTAAGTGGAGCTTTCATTGTTTTCAGTCGTCCTCACAAAACAAATGTATTAAAAGAGAAGAGTCGTGCTTTTTTTCCCCCTTTAGCTCTGTGAACACTTTAGTGGGTCTCCACTTGTCTCGTTCTTCTCTGTGTTGTTGAAGTCCCAAAGGCACGTGCTGATCGTCACTCTGCTCCTGCTGGATTGTAAATCAGAAACCTCACAGCAGCCTGGATGGCAGAGCCTCTGACACAGGGAACAGAGCAGGCTGTCGAACCACTGGGTGGAGCCACCGCTGGGGCCAAAGTCCTCCCATTCAAATGCCTTTCATTTGCTTTTGCAAATAAAAAGCATTTGAATAATGGAACAATAAAATGTGTTCTGTAATTTTCACATTTCAGTAAGATAAGTTTTAGTAAGTTTTTTGTTGTGTGTGTTAGATTGTCCTTGCTGCCTGCCATAGGGGTCTTTTCATCATCTTCCCGAAACATCAAAGCATTTATCAGGAGATTTTCTTATTTGTTTAATAGCACAGTGCATGTTTTTGTCTTTCAGTGCTCTTACTAGTGTCATTTGGAGTATTTTAAATAAAATAAAAAAATAAGAGCATGACTCATCTGTAGTTGGATGTATTATGTAGTGTTGTAATATGTTACGACCTGATAATCAGCTGTGAGGATAGATAACCACTGATAGATGTCAGCGAATGCTCTTATCCAAATGTACTTTTGAAATGTTGGTGGCGTAAGCGGGGTGTGGCAGGCATGATGCATGAATGTACCATAAGCCATACTTACAAGTCCATACTCGCAGTTACTGTGGGAGCTGCTGAGTTGTAAACCACTCCTCACTTCCCTGTATGAGCTCATATCAGTTTGCTTTTTTACTGGTGTGACGGTTGCGTGCTGAGATTCACGTGCAACCTTCACTTTCACTGTCTTTTCATCTTGATTTAGAATTGTGCATGTTAACATAGATTTAGCTTCTTTTTTTTTTCTTTTTTGGTATTTAGAGAAAATGTATTTTTAATTTGAAGTTATTATTTGTTTAACAAGCTTAACGAGTCAGTCAAATGCATTCAGAGTCAGACAGGATACTGTAGGGTGTGTGCTTGGGTCAACATAAAATGAGGAACAGATTTATAATACATGTATAGATTTGACTTATCAGTTGGCTGTTTTGCAAGGGACATTTCACATGTAAAATACCTCTAACATCATTTCTGCACATGTCTTCTACTTAATATACCAGGAAAAAAACCAAAAAGGAACTAATTGCCTGATCAAGACATGATCTCCAACCTAACAGGATTATTATATTACATTATTATGTGATTGCCAAATAAAATAATTTCTTTTTGCACCTTTTTAAAATTCCTGCTTGAATGAAAGGAAAATGAAAGTTGTGATTGACAGGATATAAATGGAAATGGTTAAATATAAAGTAAATGTTTGTGTCTCTGCAGGGCTCCCCACTATTTGAGCTTCTGAAACAGGAACATGAGAGCGGAGGAGCAGAGCAGGTGGAGACCCCAGCTAATTTCAGTCAACCGCTGCAGCACAACCACACCGCAGCCGACCTGTAAGTCATCCCGCGGCTTTCGATCAGTTTGTCTTTTGATTTTGAAAGAACACCAAACCCTTTTTACAAGAGTTGTGAAACTACTGACTAATCAAAACAGCACCGCCTTGATGAATACGTCATAGATGAGCAGATAAGCATCAATAATATTTTGTTAAATTCCACAGCCCCCCCCCTCTTTCTTTGATTTTTTTTTTTGAGCTTTGAGGAAGAGCTTTCTTTTGTTTTACCCGTCCATTTAAGGCTCGTGGTTAGGGGAATGTTTCATGTTTATTGACATATGAAACTGGTTCCTGTGCTCTTCCCGCACAGATATTTGTCCCCCATGCGCCCAGGCCTGCGTGTATTACCTCCTGAGTCCAGCTGTCAAACTTCCTCTCAGCCTGCCTCACAGCCAACCAGCCAACCTCCACGACCCCTCAAGTCCAACTCTCTCAGCCTCTTCTATAAAAAATGTAAGTCACTGGTAGAGTTTGCACTAGTCAAAAATAATTGATGGTGGTGGTCCTGCCTAGCAATAAAGTAATCTTTTAAAGTAGTAATGTTGTGATGGATGGAGTAAATAATGGGGAAAATAACAAGTTAATAGGAGAAAATATTAATGCAATTGTATAAAATAACATTGTTTGATATTTTCTTTAAAGTATTGCAGACACAGTCAGGTGTCCCCACATTTTCATTAAGCAATTTTTTTTATTCTTATATTATTATTGTTACATTTTTATTAAGATAAGAGGTTCCATTCATTATTTTACCACACTAGACGCTCTAATCCTCTGGTTTTGTTTCTCTGTAGTGTACCGTTTGGCCTATACAAGGCTGAAGATGCTCTGCTCCTACCTGCTGTCCTCCCACCCTGAGTTTGAGCCCATAATATGGACTCTGTTCCAGCACACTCTGCAGCATGAGTACGAGCTGATGAGAGACCGTCACCTCGATCAGGTAAGCTGGAAATATGTCGCTCTCACTATTTGTTTCTGTCCCTCGTCTCCTGTTATTGCCCTCCTCCACTTTTCTTATTTATTTTTCTCTCCTAAATACGTTGTATGTTCCTGTAGTTGATGATGTCTGCCATGTATGCCATATGTAAAGTGAAGAGCGTTGATCTGCGCTTCAAGACCATTGTCACAGCATACAAAAACATGGCCAACACCAGCCAAGAGGTAAAACAGCCTGTTACAGTTTCCATAAAAACTCACCGAGTCGGCTGGAGATTTGCTGATGTAATCGTGTTTCATGTAGAACTGTAACAAAACACTTTGAATGTTGCAGACCTTCAAGCACGTGTTGATCACTGAAGGCCACTACGACTCCATCATTGTCTTCTACAACCAAGTGTTTATGCAGAAGCTGAAAACAAACATCCTGCAGTATGCTTCTACCAGGGTGAGCTACATCTGCAGTAGTCATTGGTGACGGTGGGGTTTTAATGCACATATATATAAAAAAAAAAAAGTATTTCTACAAATTTCTCTCATTGTTTCTGCTGCTGTTTTCTTTTCTAGCCTCCGACACTCTCGCCAATCCCACAAATACCCTGCAGCCCCTACAAGTTCCCTAATTCGCCTCTGCGTGTGCCCGGTAGCAACAATGTCTACATCTCTCCATTGAAAAGCGCACGCATGTCTCCCGGTATCATGACCCCTCGATCCAAGTAAGTCCTGCATAATATTCATTGTCAAATAATTTTTGACAACGCTACTCCTGAACTAGAATGATATTATAGAATGATTTGAAATGAAGGCCTGTTTGTTTTGTACAATGCTCATTGGGGGTTTTTTTGCCCTTGCAGAATGCTGGTATCGATCGGCGAGTCATTTGGGGTATGTTCATCTTAAGTTTGCTCTGTAGACCCAGAGAGTTGATTCTGTTCATCTGGTTACTTAGTCTGGATGTACAAAATCAACTTTCTGGTATTTTCTTACTTGGATTATCAAGCATGCATCAAAACATTTTGCTCTGTAGTGTAACAAAGGGCTGGTTTGATCTCTCAGCAGCTGCAGTGCCATTTATTTGTTTCCTCACTCACTCTTACTTCTGTTTTGTCTTCATTTGCAGCCATCAAATCGCTTCCAGAAGATCAACCAGATGGTCAACAGCAGTGATCGATCCCTAAAGAGGACTCTGGATCATGGCTCCACGCCAAAGCCTCTGAAGAGGTTACGATTTGATGTGGACGGGCAAGATGAAGCTGACGGCAGGTTGGTCACAAATGGTGCTTGTGTGCCAGATTATATTATATCATGTGGGGCAGCACAGCATTTTTTGCACCATTATCCCGTCTCATATGAGACATGATGTACTATTTTAATTGGCTGTAGTTTTCATAAGTCAAAACATCACTCTCACCAAAATCACAAGAGTGAAAAATAGCCAACCATTGGCTTCGTCTGTCTTAAAAGCCAAAGATGATTAGCTGACAGAACAGCAACTGAAATAACAGTTTACAATTACTGTGAAAGAAAGGGACTGCACATGTGTACACAAATCAGAAAAAACATTTTTTTAGCTTCCTTATATGTGTGAAAAGTTTATAAAATTGCATTCAGTTGCAGCAGCCTATAATTGGTCTTTGATAGATGTCAAATCTTTAAACAGTAAACTCTGTGTGTAGATTTTAGTTTTTCAGACTAAAATCTACACACCTCTCTGTGGGCTCATTATACCAACAGCACTACATCACAAAAGTGACATCATATATCTGCTGGTTTTCACCTCTCACTTTTTGTAACCTTGAACAGGTGCCACAGCTGATGGCGCTTGTTTAAGATGATTGTGTAATTCATTTTTAATTATTTACTCTAGTCACCATTTTTGATGACTTCTCCCATACCAGTGCTGATGTGGTTATGTCTCAGTGGCGACATCTGTTATTACGTACAGCACTGCAGCGAGTACTCGTAAATGGTACAAAGCTGTGGTGACGTCACTGTTTGACCAGTGCAGCAAGTATAATGGGCAATTGTCAAATATATTGTCAAACATTGTCCAACATCGTCCCACAAGAACGCACTCTTTGACCTATATTAGGGGCCTACATTGCCTTCACCTAGAGCTGGGCGATAGAACGATAACGATATGTATCGCGATATAACTTTTACTCGATAGAGAAATTAAGCTATCGCGATAGACCTCGCCGCTCTTGTCCTC